TATCAAAACAAATATATAAAAAGGCACTAACCTTTTCGGTAAGCATTTCAAAAATAAGAGTTATTAGAGTAGCATTAATTTGTTAGGATCCTGATTGTAACTATCACGGTTTGTTACCTTGTATATTAAAATAGATTAGCTTGATTTATGCTTTCTGTTCCTTAGTTTTAGCTGATTTCCTGATGTAAATAAATTAGCTTGATTTATGCTTTCTGTTCCTTAAATTTAGCTGATTTCCTGATGTAAATAGATTAGCTTGATTTATGCTTTCTGTTCCTTAAGTTTAGCTGATTTCCTGATGTAACCAATTGTAAATCTTGGTCTATATAATAGACCCAATTTTATATATCATTTAGCTGCGAATGACAGCAACTTCTGTTATGGTATCAAGAGCTTGACGATCAACAAGCCTTCATTTTTTTTTTCATCATGACTTCCGCACCTAAAACCTTCAAGGTTTCTGATTCTAAGTCACCCTTTTACCTGCACCCATCCGACAATCCTGAGGATTCTAAATCTGTTACTACTGAGGATGACAACAATCGTATTTATCAGTTCCTTATGGGTCTGGATCACACTACTTATGGTAGTCTTATTACCCAAATCCTCAATACCACTCCACTCCCAAGTATCAATCGGGTGTTCTCTATGGTAGCTCAAGAGGAAACGCACAAGGCATTGGTCCGATCTCAGGATTCTCCTTCTGATGCAATGGGATATGCAACGCCTGGTACTGTCTCCAAAGAACTAGGAGATTCTTCCAAACCTAAAGTCACATGCACTTACTGTGGCAAACCTTATCATGACATAACAAGATGTTATCAGCTGATTGGTTACCCAGATCGCCCCACTCCTGGACGCAGCCCTCCTCCTGGACGAAGCCGTGGTCGTGGTCGTTCATCCACTGCACGATCTCACCCACTATCTGCTCGGGCTGCTCATACTTCTCTGCCTTCGGTTCCTTCTGCGCCGTCATCAGCATCCATCTCCATGGCAGATTTTACACCAGAAGTTCTACAACATCTCATGTCCTTGGCTGTCTCTTCTGCCCCTCCAGTTGATAAACTTACGGGTAAGATTTTACACCCATCTTGGATCATCGACAGTGGTGCATCCCAACACATGACGGGCACACTCTCCTATCTATCCAATGTGCATTCTATTTCTCCTTGTTCTGTGGGACTGCCGAATGGAGTTCATGATATTGCTACGCAATGTGGCAGCATTACTTTGGGCTCTTCTCTTCATCTCTCCAATGTTCTTTATGTCCCTTCGTTGGCTTGTAATTTGATTTCTGTATCTCAGCTTCTGCGCCAGTCTTGCTTGGCATTGTTTGTTAATTCTGTTTGTTTGATACAGGACCTAAAGCAGAAGAGGACGATTGGAACGGGTGTTGAACGAGAAGGGGTGTATATATTGTGTGCATCATCAGCTTCTGCTCATGTTGCCAGTACGTCAGATTCTGCAGCACTATGGCATCGTCGTCTAGGACATCCATCTTCCCGTTATTTATCTTTGTTACCTTTTATTTCCAATGCAAATAATTTGGCTCCTTGTGACGTTTGTTGTAAAGCCAAACAACCACGAAGTCCTTTTCCTATTAATAATAAACGTTGTTTACATCCTTTTGATTTACTTCACTGTGATATATGGGGGCCATATCATATGGCATCTACAACTGGTGCCCGCTATTTTTTAACTGTAGTCGATGATTTTAGTAGACATGTTTGGATTTTTTTGATGCGCAATAAAACTGAAACTTCCACATGTTTACTTCGGTTTCTCCACTTGGTTCGCACCCAATATGATGCATCTGTTAAGCGAATTCAGAGTGATAATGGGACTGAATTTTTGTCATCTGTAGTCCAAGAGGCTCTCTCATCCTACGGTATTCATCATCAATTATCATGCACTTACACCCCACAGCAAAATGGACGCGTTGAACGTCGTCATCGTCACATCCTCAACGTGGCTCGTGCTTTGCGTTTTGATGGTCACTTACCTATATCTCTTTGGGGAGAATGCATCTTGACCGCTGCTCACCTCATCAACAGGACACCGACTCCACTCCTTGGTGGTCAGTGTCCCTATGAAGTTTTGCATGGCACTCCACCAAAGTATGATCACTTACGGGTCTTTGGGAGTTTATGTTACACTACTGTTTTACCCAAACCACATGACAAGTTCGCTCCTCGCTCCCGTAAGTGTGTGTTTGTTGGCTACCCTTTCAACAAAAAAGGATGGAAGGTCATGGATATCTCCACTCATGAAATATTTGTTTCTCGTGATGTTTTATTTCATGAAACTATTTTTCCATTGGCTGCAACTTCATCTGCACCTTCTGTCCATGTACCGTCACCACAAGCTGTCTTCACCGATTATGATGTGGCACCTGTTACTGCTATTGATACTCCCACAGCGGAGCTTGATGACAGGGGGAGTTCGTCCTCCCCAGTTCCGGGTTCTATTACTTCATCCACGGATGTCCCTGGTTCACCGGTTCCGTTGACAGAACCCAACACTGCATCTGTGGCAGATATTCGTGAACAGCGTGCCAGACGTCCCCCATCTCATTTAAAGGATTATGTATGCAACACAATGACTACACCCTTTCCTCGTCTCTCCACTTCTCCAATCGACTCAGGTATTCAATATTCCATTGATCATTATGTTTCTAATGCATTATTTTCTTCGCACCATCAGATTTTTCTTGCCGCCGTGGATAGTAACCTGGAACCCAAATCATTTAAAGAGGCTATGCAATATCCTCATTGGCAGAAAGCCATGCAAGCCGAAATTGATGCATTGGAAGCCAATCATACTTGGCAAATTCAACCTCTCCCTTCTGGTAAGAAAGCTATTCCATGTAAGTGGGTGTACCGCATCAAGTACAATTCTGATGGAACCATTGAACGCTATAAAGCGCGTCTGGTTATTGCTGGGAACAATCAGATCGAAGGAGAAGATTACACTGAGACTTTTGCACCGGTGGCTAAAATGACAAGTGTGCGTACATTTTTATCTGTAGCTGTAGCTCGAAAATGGAGCATTTTTCAGCTGGATGTTCAAAATGCCTTTCTCCATGGCGATTTGGATGAAGAAGTCTTTATGCGTTTTCCTCCCGGTTTCTCCCAAACCAAGTCTGGTCACGCCTGTAAGCTTCAACGTTCACTTTATGGTCTCAAGCAATCCCCACGAAATTGGTTTGCTAAGCTTCGTAGTTCTCTCCTCAGTTTCGGCTTTGTTCAGTCTCGTGCTGATTATACGTTGTTCACTTACTCGACTGGTTCCCATTATGTTGCTATACTTGTCTATGTAGATGATATTTTGTTGGCAGGTAGTGATCCTTCTCTCTGTGACCGTGTCAAAGCTCATTTACAAACCTGGTTTAAAATCAAAGATCTTGGTCCCCTCAAGTATTTTCTTGGCATTGAATTTGCTCGAAGCAAGACCGGTTTGTTTCTTACTCAACGCAAATTTGCTTTGGATATTCTTAAGGAATGTGGACTTCAAAGTTGTAAACCGGTTGCTTATCCTATGGATCCCAATCACAAGCTTGCTCTTGCTGAAGGACCTCCGTTTGATGATCCTAAACGTTATAGACGTATTGTTGGCCGTCTTGTATATCTCACGATTACACGACCAGAACTTAGTTATGCAGTTCACACACTTTCTCAGTTTTTGCAGCATCCTATGCAGATACATTACGATGCGGCTATTCGTGTTCTTCGGTACATTAAGTCCAATCCTGGCCAAGGACTCCTTCTTCGATCTGACAGTGATCTTCTTCTTCGTGCCTATTGTGATTCGGATTGGGCTAGTTGTCCCTTGACTCGAAAATCAGTCACTGGTTATTTTGTTACTCTTGGACATTCTCCTATTTCTTGGAAAACCAAGAAGCAAAACACAATATCCCGCTCCTCTGCTGAAGCTGAATACCGTGCCATGGCAGCTGCGACTTCTGAGCTTATTTGGTTAAAGTCTTTTCTCAGCTCTCTTGATATTCCTCATGCAGCCCCTATGCAACTGTTTTGTGACAGTCAGTCTGCTATTCATATTGCTTCTAATCCAGTGTTCCATGAGCGTACCAAGCATATCGAGTTAGATTGCCATTTTGTTCGGGACTATCTTCTCAGCAAGACTATTTCTACTCAACATATCCCCACTAGTTCTCAACCCGCAGACATTATGACCAAAGCACTTGGATCCAAACAATTCGATTTTTTGACTTCCAAGTTGGGCATCTCCTCCCTCCATGCTCCACCTTGAGGGGGAGTATTAGAGTAGCATTAATTTGTTAGGATCCTGATTGTAACTATCACGGTTTGTTACCTTGTATATTAAAATAGATTAGCTTGATTTATGCTTTCTGTTCCTTAGTTTTAGCTGATTTCCTGATGTAAATAAATTAGCTTGTTTTATGCTTTCTGTTCCTTAAATTTAGCTGATTTCCTGATGTAAATAGATTAGCTTGATTTATGCTTTCTGTTCCTTAAGTTTAGCTGATTTCCTGATGTAACCAATTGTAAATCTTGGTCTATATAATAGACCCAATTTTATATATCATTTAGCTGCGAATGACAGCAACTTCTGTTAAGAGTTGCACTTTCCTCCCACAGCATAATAAGTAATGAACCAAGCATTGTCCTGAGGATATGAATATACACAAATATAATAACTATATGTATAATTACATTTAATAAATAATTTAAATATAATCAAAAAAATTGTATATGACGCTCTTTTAAATTGACGAAATTTTCAAGGATAGAATCTGTAGTAAAATTTTCAGCAATCTCTCTTTCAATATACACAACCAAATTATTTGAAAGAAAGTCATCCTCCATTTTGTTTCGAAGCCTTGTTTTCATAATTTTCATTGCTGAGAATGCACGCTCACCACTTGCTATTGAAACTGGTAGTGTTAAGATAAGACGAATTAGCCTATCAACCAAATGATAGGAATTTGACTTTCCTGTCTTGGCTAATCCTTGACACAACTAAGAAATTGAAGATAAATTTTGAAGTTCTGGATTTTTTGGGATCTCTTTGTGGAAATGCTTCAATTGACAATTCAAACTAATTCTCTCTTGCTCAGAAAAATCAAGAGGATAATATTTCTCTGCAAGGCTACAAATATCATCAACATTAAATGCTTTGTAACCATTCTTCGGATCTAATGAAGAGCTAAGTGATAATAGTTTCATTGTTTGCTCAGTAAACCTTCTATCTAACTCTTGTAATTGAAAGTCAATTGTTGAATTAAAGATATCAAAATGATAGTGATGCTCAATAGTTATTTGATCATGCTGTTGACGGCGACGACCTTCAATATATTGAGCATCAAGATCTGGAATATCTATTTCATGAAGCTTGGAGAAATTAACAACACTTTCAAGTATTCTTTTCCAACCATCATCTCGCAATTCTTGAATAAGTTCCTTTGTACTTGAAACTAATTGTATGCATTCAAAATATCTTGAGATTTTTGTTGTAATGCTTGACAAAGAATTTCAGTGATGCCCATGATCTCCTTCATCAAAAGTAAATTAAAGATAAACTCAAAAGAAGTGATCATCTTATAAGCTGCAGTAGCATCTCCTCTTTGAGAGTAATTTGATCCTTCACTACGAATTTTTTCAAGTACTGAACATGATTCATCATACCCTCGTTGAAGACTGCATATAGAATAAAAATGAGAACCCCATCTAGTATCACTTGCCCTTTTTAATGTACCTATTTGGTTAGAACCTGTACCAGTTTTAAGCTCACCAATAGCCTGCAGATGTTCAAATTCAGAAACTTGGGCAGCTTGGAATTGATCATGACGCTTAGAAGAAGTAGTGATGATATTAATGATGAAATTCAAATTCTGAAAGAATTGATAAATAGAAGAAACTTCCTTAGAAGCAGCCATCAAGACTATAATAATGTCGTCAGTGTGTTCAATTCTACGACACTTGGAAGGAGGTTGCTCATAAGAAGGTTATCACTTTCAGAAATTATGTTCACAAGATCATCACTTGATTCTTTTTTGGAGGCTACTTTCTTTTAAAGAACACGTCTATACTTTTCTGTTTATCCTTGCCCTTGCCCATACTTTTTCAACCTACATGTCAATTTGTATGTAGCACATATTTGACAATTAAATCAACACATATTTGACAATTAAAAATAATGATAAGAAAAAAGAAGTCTATTATTTTGGTATAAATGGTTCGCAGGTGGACCAGAGAGAATGAGGCAAAATGTAAACAATAAGACAAATTTAAACAAATAAATCAAATCAATCCAAGTTTGAAACAATTTATCAAAATAACACAATCAGTTGTGCATACGAGACTCACCCAATTAGTTGTGAATAGGAGGTGATAAATAATAATTATTATATAATATTTAACATTGTAAAAATTAAAAATTATGATGAACCATATGCATTCAGCCCACGACCCATGAACAATAATAAATAATAATAAAACAAATTGACATCTATAAGGATGGAAAAGTGTCGTAGAATTGCTCCCCTCAAATATAATTTGACATGTAGGTGCAAGTAGGAGAACAATAACAAATAATAATAAACCAAACAGATATAAGCTTTTTTTTCACATGCCATAATAAATAGGTGAAGTAGTCTGCTATCTATCTTCTAGCCTTATTAATGTATGCAGTGAAATGTCTTTTCATAAATTAGAATAACTTTGATATTTTTTTTTTTTATTTTATTTGTCATTATATTATCCCATCTTAAAATTATAAATGAAAGAAAGACTGAATAAACAAGACAAGATGAAATGATATATATCCTTATCCACCGTATAAACAACTTGATATGTCAGAATGGATATAAATAAAATCTGAGGAAGTTACCGCAAAATGGAAAGGTTGAGGCGTGCCACTGAGTCCAAGTCACTCGCTAGTTAGAGGCGTGCACGGTGGACGAAATTCAGGTGGCGGCGAACGGCGTCGGACTCGGAGGTCTTCAGAAATGGTGAACGACGCGAGGGTTATACATCTGCTCTGCTCTCTTCTTGAGTTTTTTTTAGAGAAGGATGTTGTTGATGATAGAAGAGTTTTGGGTCATTGAGAGGTGCCTCCGAGAGTGTATAGGTGCTATTTTAACTATCCATTTTGATGTATGCCTATGAAGCTCATTTCTCCTTGTACCATTTTGATTGTCCATTTTGGTGATTACTTGATCCATGTACAAAGTCCTATCTTTGTTTCACTTTCCTCTTCCCTCTGCACTACTTTCTGCTCTCTGTATGTTCCTTTTTCTTATATCTTCTTTTTTGTTGAATAAAAACAAAACTTGTTGCATAAAATTGATATTCACAAAGGGTGCCGTGAGGATAGATGTAGTTCATCATGTCTGAGACAAGAAAATGGTTTCATTTAGAGCACTTAGATAGGCCTAATTGCAATTTTAGCCTGGGCCAAATCAAAATTTATCATATAATTATATATAATAAAATATTTTTTTCAAAATCAGCTAGGGCCCAGGCCCCACCTAGCTGTAACGTGGCTCCGCCACTGAATTCTCCATGTTGCCCGTGGACATAGGAAACCTAATTTGGATTGTTCAATATTGTTTTCCTTATGTTTTTATTTTGATTTAATCCTTATTATATAGTTTGCGCTGAATGGATGTCCTATAAATAAATGCCAATAATGCAGTACCCTTAAGCTAGAATGATAAATAAAAGGGGAAAAAGAAGAAAAAATGGCACACAGTAGTGTAGCTTCGGTTGGTAGCTTATCTATTATAGGCATATGCTCAATTGCTACTTGCTACTTGCTACCTATACTGAAGCTAAATGTTCTTAATTTGCATGTTTAGAATTATCACTCAAACCAAACTCCATGCTCAAGTAGTATGTTTCTCCTCTCAGCCACCAATTAATTAGTAATCTAATTAAAAAGAAATTAAAAAAAAAAGTCGTGTTAATTAGGACCTGTTGACGCAATAACCTGTACCATTTGATTAACTTGGAATATTGCTGACGTTCTATATGAAGTAGATAATGCAGCATGTTGATGATGCTTTTACGCCTCAACTCCATGCGGTATTTGTGAGATATACAATCAATATACTATTTATTCGATTAAATAATATGATTAGTTAACAAAAAGAATTTTATAAATGCATGCACAAGAAACTAACTCTCTTTTTTGTCATAGATATATCTACTAATATATCAATAGGGTTTGATTTTCTCATGTTGCATGAAAATTGAATTCTCATGTTGTGACTCAACTAGTGGTGGATCCACATCTATTAAAAAGAAAAAAAGAAACTTTGCACGCAAATTGAAAATATGATAATTGAATTCTCATGCAACATAAGAAAATATTTTTCCTACATCAAATACCTTAAATGTTTCTAAATTACGAGATAGATTATTCTACTTACCTTTCTTCCTGCTTATCTTTGTCTATCACTCTCCAACACTATTAGATTAGAATCTGAATAAGAGAGAGAAATGATAAAGATAGTTGATATTCTGATCTAACGGTATTGGAGAGTGGTAGACAAAGATAAATAGAAAAAGAGATAGGTAAAATAATATATCCCCTAAATTATATTTAAAAATTATCATAAAAATAAATATGAAATATCACACCCACATAAAAATTAAATATAATGAGTATCAGAATTTGAATTTCTATCCTATATAACTTAAATTTGGACAATGATATTTATGTATAGAATCATTTCAACTCAAAAGCTTAAACTGTTAAATGAGGACCTCCTTAATGATTTATATTAAATTCTAATATGCCCCGTCACACGAGAGTCCATTGAACTTAAAGGGTGGATAATACATCAGGCTCAACCTACCTATGCTAAAACATTTCATAACTGAATGGATGAGAAGTGGTTGTTTTTCTAATATGCGCTCCTATAGGGGGAAATTGTGACTCCATCAATAAGGTGTTCCATTCCCAGTGAAGTTTTCTGGAACTGATCTTTTCACTTGAAATTTCACATTCCTTTTTATGTGAAATTTGTGTCAAAACATAAAATAAGTGGGATATTATCAAAGTTTGTGCGTTTATGAATATGAGTTTTGTTAGAGATATATAAAACCATTAATGTAGCCTCACCCATGAGCTTAAGCTTTTGAGTTGAATTGGTTCTTTACATGGTATCAGTGCCTCGGTGTCGCGGGTTTGATCTTCACCGCTAGGCGTGAAAGTGGTTTTGGCTGACCTAGCCTATATCAGGCCAGACTTGATCTATTATATATAGTCAAATACAATAATCTCGGGCTTCTAAAAAAGTCGATTTAGAAAGCAGGACATAGTTTTTTTTTTACATGTCGGTCTATATCATATTATTTATTTTAAATAAAATAAATTAATATTATTTATAGTAGTACCAAATGGTGAAAGCTTAGTTGGTGCATGTGAGCTGAGTAGGTGGTGGAAGGACCCATGTTCAATCCCCACCAATACCACATTTGGGAGAGACATAAGATCTGTGTCAATCTCTACAGTGTGTCAAAATAAACATTTAGTGTTGGAGGAAGAGTTATTAATGTTTATCGTTCTAGCTTGGCTGAAGATATCATCCAAGCTTTAATATGTGCTGGAGATTGACTACATAATAAGTATGGCATGAAGGAAAAAAAATAAAAGGTATAAAAATGTTTTATTGTTTCCTAATCTTTTTTTTTTCTTTCTATTCTTTAATCTTGTTTTTTATTTTCTACATTTACGAATTGTTTGCCAACTCATGTAACCTTGAAATTGTATTTGCAGGTGAGAGAAGATAATGAGAAGTTTTTGGCTACTACAAGCATCATAATGTGTTTGTTGGATTCACGCAGTTATTTTAAATCTGGTGAAATATGTTATTTAATTTAAGCATTTTGGTCCTGAAAGTGACTTAAAAGCAAATTGTGATGACTTGTTGTTGTGATTCATGGTTCTGTTTGGATATTGAAATTGTAATTCTTATTTTAACAACATAAGTTGAGTATTTTGTGCCGTTTATTCATGGTTATGCTTGAAGTTAAAAATTAACAGACTAACTGGTCATGCCAAGCCAGACCATTTTATTTTTTTTTTATAAATAGACCAAGTCAGGCTAACAGTTAGACTCGTACTATGCTATCGGATCAGGCCAAGATAATTTTTTTTTGGATAGGCTTAGGCTTTTTCTGACAAAGCTCGGCCCAGCCCAACCCACTTTCACTTCTACTTATCCCCCCCCCCCCCCCCCCCCGGCGCAATTTTCTCTTGTGAAATTTTTTAGCACAGGTAGGTGGACCTGTACATTGTCCACTCTTCAAATCTAGTGGACTCTCATGTGAAGGGGCGTGTTGGAAATATATGAAACCATCAAAGTAGTCTCACTCACCAGCTTAAGCTTTTGGATTGAATTGATTCTTTACAGGTTTAATGTTTCTCTTGTAAGTTGGAAATAACTTTATCATCTGCACTCACGTAAGAGTTGGTGGGGCCCTTTGAGGAGAAAGAAAGAAATAAAAAACGGGACCTACCCACCCCTATGTGAATGCAAGAGATATGCTTATCTCCAACTTATAGAAGAAACATTAATTCCTACAAATATTTATGAAAAAACGTTATATGTGAAATTTCAACCACACTATGTGTTGGAATATTCAAGTGTGATGTAGTCCCACATTGATTGGGAATGGGTTAAGTGAAGTCCATATAATGAGAGAACCTATAAACCCAATTTCTTAAGGTTTTGGGTTGATACATGGTGTCAAACCACTTACTATGGCTGGTGTAGCTTCGCCTATTGATAGTGGTCCCTATGTCCTTAGCTATGAGCTCCCCCTGGCTTGCTTGATAGTGGTATCAGAATTAGGTTGGGCTCGAATTAACCAGGTGTGTGGATAGAGTTGAGTTGAGTACTTGGACATTGGGTACTCAGAGGGACTT